GGCCAAGTTCTCCATTTTACTCCGCTGTTTATCGGCGATCTCGTCCACATCCTTCCAAAAATGTATATCATCTCAGACATAATGGTATCAAGAACATTTTAAACAAGTTTCAACTTGGTTTCAAGTAGATCATAGCTGTTTAACCATCGACAAGGTAAATCCACAAATTTGTCCAAATTCGGCGCCATTTTGTCATCCCGTGTCGGTTGTCAACAATTCGCCCTTGTTACTCTTCCATCCAAGCCATTTCCATTCCAGTAATAATAAATTTAACCCTTTATAACGGTAGGAAACTAAAAAATCTGAGCAAAATATAAGAAATGCGGCATTTTATCACCCTGCAAAATGTTGCTCACGAGTCTTTCAAAACATTCCATACAAATCTCGCGTGACAAAGTAACAGGGACGTGACAGGGGGGGGGATTATTTCTCGAAGATAGAAGAAGACTGCGTGAAATAGACTAAAAACTAAATACAACCATACAAACGTTTGTTTTATTTCTTGTAGAGACAAATATATACATATTATTATTTATTAATGAACAAGTCATACAAATTAGATGTTGATTGTTGGTTGTACTGTCATACTGTGTGGGCTTTGCTTTCATTTTTCAAGTCTCCACCCCCCCTGTCACGTCCCTGTTATTAAACCACGCGAGATTTGTACGAAATGTTTTGAAGGACTCGTAAAGTCCCTGTCACACTATTGCGTATCGTACCAGCGTATGCCAGCGTATGAAAAATTTCACTCATACGCCGGTATACGCTGACATACGCTAGGGGTACGTTAGGCATAGGTTGTATACGTTTCAAGCACGGTCGCGTACGGCGAAGCAGAAAATTTTTTTTAAGCATTTACGATAAGCATAGCCAGATGTACGGTACTCATATGCTGGCATTTCAAACGATTTTTGTGCGTATGAAAATTATTTCATTAATTTTCATACGCTAATTCTCACACGTTTCTCTCATACGCAATAGAGTGACAGGGCCCATTAGATTTTTTAGTTTCCTACCGTTATACAGGGTTAAATTTATTATTACTGGAATGGAAATGGCTTGGATGGAAGAGTAACAAGGGCGAATTGTTGACAACCGACACGGGATGACAAAATGGCGCCGAATTTGGACAAATTTGTGGATTTACCTTGTCCATGGTTAAACAGCTATGATCTACTTGAAACCAAGTTGAAACTTGTTTAAAATGTTCTTGATACCATTATGTCTGAGACGGTATACATTTTTGGAAGGATGTGGACGAGATCGCCGATAAACAGCGGAGTAAAGTGGAGAACTTGGCCAAATACGTCCATTTGCAGGAGGTAGGCACATTTCAAATTATTATTTCGGTTAGAAAATATTAAATATTTTACACCAAACCAGTGATAATATATTTAAATAAGTACCAATTATGTTTCTATCAAAAACATTTAGGGAAAAAGGTAATGTAAGTTCACTGCTGTTTATCTGAAGTTGCAAGCCACAAATTGACGTTTAACTATGATTATTGCATGGTCATTTTCTTGTGAAGTATTAGTGCTAGGCATTTCACACTTACCAATGACTACCCCCAAAAGCACCATCTCTGAACCATATAAGCACCTCAGAATAGCCAAAGCTTTTATGGTTTGGTAGATAGCAGTATGGCGAAAGCGTCGTTTTTGGGTGTGGTCAGTTTCGGACGTTTCGCTCCGGATTGGGGTTCGGGCAGCGTTACCATGTTCACCGTCATTGTCAACTTGCCCTAAAACAGATGAGATTATCTGTCCTAAATGAAATACATACAAACTCATATACAGGTCCTAGACTATCTTATCCAGTGATATCACTACGTTTGGTTGAAGCATTTCTGAACATGATGACTCATTCGTGTTTGTAATGAATGATTTCTGTTTATGTCCATTCATTTCACACGTGTAGTATTTTTGGTGGTAACGGCCGCCCATAATATGATCTTTATTATTAATAATATCTTTCTAAAAACTTGCATTAGGTTGTTGTGCCATTCAGATGAGTGAGTGAGTTATTTGTTTCGCATGTGTTTCATGCCTGCAAGTGACAATGACTTTGCTTCACATCATTTCGTCACAAATGTATGGATCCCGTGGTGTTATGTTACTTATCAGTTGTAAACTCGAGATATGAAATATAACACAATGACTAATTCTGTTTACTTTCCAGACCATGAAATTATGGAAAGTTGTGTTTCGTATCGCCTTAAATTTTGTGTCTTGTTGTCTATTACTTAGCCGATTAAACGTCACCTGTGACGTCACGGAATCCGTTGTGTGATAACAGGACTCTCCAACAGATAGCCTTTTTATCCGGTGTCGACAGGTTATGTATGGTCGTGAAGAATGAACTAAATATACAGCTAATTCAATTAAAAGGTTGTCCTTTATGAGGTTATGCAATAAGCAAGGTTAACAACAAGGTAACATAGCGCGCGGAGCATGGGTCGAACCTAGGCGTTAAAGGCAAGAAGCGCAACAGGCGTTGCCTGCATCATAGTGAGAAGCGCAGCTTGACAAGCAGTTGTAAGCGCAAGCTAGACAATTTTTTTTTTCTTGTTACTCTGATGCTAAATTCTTCATCGTTTGTTTGCGTTCCACCGAGTAATTCGGTGAGATAGGTGCAAACGGGTGGTCAGGTCAATATATACTTGGAAGCTTGACCTGAATCCAAGTAATGGTAAGTATCTGGTATACAAACGGCAGCCCTCCTACCCAATGCACCTAACAATCCACACGGTCACGGGTAAGTCATACATGTATGTTACCGAAGGTGTTAACAAAGCCAAAACTCAAAATCGCAAAACCTCGACGGCTCGACCTCTAAAGGCCATGTGGCACGGTGCAATTTTTCTTGCAACTTGCAATGCAATTCTACTCTTGAGAAATCTTATCATAATCTGACCCCAATCTAACCGGCCTGAACTTGACGACCTTAGCTTTTTTTATGTGGAGTCGCTAACTGTTATCGGGGAGATTACGCATGTAAGACGGCAACATCAGGACGGTGGCTATCAATACGATATCATTAATCCTATAGCACAAAAGGAATAATCAAAACTTATATCTGGAGTTTCAGACGTCGTCCATGCTCTGTTGACGACGGCAAAATGCATATTTTCACATCTTGTAAAGTACGCTAGCATTTCAAGCCGTCGCATGCAATTTTTCTAACAGCGTTGATCAAAATTGCTCTGAAGGTTAAACCTCTGTTTTACTCGTTGAAATTGTATTAAATTCATATAAGAAAGTAAATACAGGACAACATTTTCATACAATCATTTATTTCAAAAAGTTTGTTTAGCCGTCGTCCTGACGCCGCCGTCGTACATGTGTAAACTCCCTAATGTCGTAAGTTCGAGTAAATTCGGACGTGTTTTGACAATTTACTCATATAGCATACAACCTATAAGTATAACGCTTCATAAAATCAATGTTTTGAAATATTTATAATGACTAAACAGTTTTCGGTATATCCGGACAAACTTGGGTTTTAAATTCAAGCTATGTAATTCTTTTAATTCCAATTTACGGTTTCTTGATCATAGAAAATATTAATAATGAAGCATAAACCCACACAGGAATTAGTCAAACATAGCGACGCGCCCATTTTCATCGATGGACTTTTTAATCTTTTCCCGGGTTTAAACAGCCGAGCGGAATTAGTACCCTCGGTTTTATAGTGTCTCAATTCTAGCCCTCTCTCCTCCGCAGAGGTTTCCAACTTTCCGTAAATTTTTTCGTGTTTTTCCGTATTTTTGTGCGAGGAACCGCTGACGAGTGTTTTTGTGGGCGGAAGAGAAAACGATTTCCGATTTCCCATTTTCTCTTCCGCTCACAAACACACTCGTCAGCGGTTCCTCACACAAAAATACGGAAAAACTTACGGAATTTACGGAAAGTTGGAAACCTCTGCGGAGGCAGTGCTATCCACCGACACAATGGATTTGAAAGTTGAAAGGTTGTAGGTTCAAGACATCATGGTTGAATTACATTTGGCGGAAAACCGATTCCCAAACTCGTGTTGTTTACTGCATACCACAGAGCACATGATTTTAGCGATTTGGAAATTAACATACTATCAAGAACCTTGAAATCTGATTGGTTACAAGCTATAAAGTATCCAATATCAACACTTTTCATCAGGCATGATTGATTTCGGAGAAATTTTTATAGGTTATCTTGAGTGCAATATTACAGCCTGCCTCACTGTTTGAAGGTAAATGAATCGCATTGTACACCTAAACTAAACAAATTACAATGGTACAGCGTTCCCTATTCACCGGTAAATTGCGAATAAACAGGATTTAAGCAGGATGAAAAACATGTTTTTATAGGTGGTTATTTGATACGATTTGAATATTGACACAATACAAAGCACGAATAAAAAACGCCATTAATGCGTTTTTTTTTCTATAAAACAGACGGAAACAATAAGACGTTTACAGATTGCTGAAGGAGGGTCGCTGTGCCATATTGGACAAAAAAGTACAATGCCACAAGTCACAAAAGCGAGCATATCAGTTTTCGCTACATTTTGGCGCCACTGCCAAAAAGCAAATTGGCTTCAATTATTATTCGCCTATTATGATGCAAAGCGTAAGTGGCCACTCAAAACTAATATCCTTTCTTAGTGCTTTTGTTTGACTCGGCCATTTTGGGCAAAACAACAACAGCAAACGGTTAGAAGATAAGCAAAAAATTCTACAATATTTGCCCTTTGGCGCCTACTGACCAACCAATCAGTAATAACAATTTATGGTCGCTATTTTGGTCGAACTAAATTTGATAAATATACTCGAACATTGTTTACAGGAGAAGCTACGTCTTCAAAGGTATATTTCGTAGGGTAAAATAAGGCAATTTTGTAAGGAGCAGATATCACTTATTTTAGCCTATGTCAAAGTTTAGTAAAACAACTAAGACAAAAACACACTGATATCGCGACCTAATGGCTCATTTCCCCTATATTTTGTCTTGAATTCAAATGGCCTAGTGTGTTACATTGTAAGCGATTTTTTATAAGGTACATATATTCCACAGCAAGCTGCATTAGGTTGTTCAGGTAATAAGTTTATTTCACAAAGTTTATTTCACTTATCGTACTGTATTCAACGATGCTCGAACGTACAAGTGTTTACATCGTGAAATTGAAGACTACTTTGTAGTCTTTGTATCGCAGCCAATTATACATCTGTTACAAAAATAACTACCAATCAGAACGCTCGACTAGATGACATAGCGTCCAAATGCCCGCCCCCTTATTTGAACGCTTCGAATAACAACAACGGAGCTGATCAAAACATTCGTGCGGCATTGCCCACATACAAGTGAGTACTATATGCGAACGGTATAGTTGAGCTCAGATTACTGTTAAGAAAAGAGGTTTACGTTCACTATAACTGCAGAGATTTGAGGCACTTTTAACACAATGCCTGCATTTCGTGAAGACGAGTCGCAAATAACGATTTTGAATCGATTGCCCAGAGCCGGCTACGGCGGATGTTTTGGACAGAGGAGTCTTGCGACCGGCGAACGGGTTTGGGGACTGCTCTCGGAGCAAATAAACAACCAAAGAGACAGAGACGTTGTCCACAGTCATTTAGAGAATGAGGATCATGGCTTCCTGCGAGTTGGCCAGGCCGTTAGCGTGAATTTCGGTCGCCGGCTTACGAGCGGCAATGTCGTGCGTAAAATACCGTGCAGTCACAATGTGGAACTTTGTTTACAGGATGGAGTTAGAATTGTTGTTGATCAACCTGATGTGCAAATCCCGCAGAATGCAGAAGGATGCAGCAGTACAGCGCTAAAGATGAATGGAAGTGCAAACCTCGATTCGTTTAAGCGAACTGCGCCACTTGTTATTAATATACCGAACGATACGTATGTAAAATTACCCTAATAGTATTCCATAGAACATATCGCTAACAATTCCATAGAATCTTTTGAACTATTCCATACACAATTTCCAACTATTCCATACAACATTTGCAACAATTCCATACATATATAGAACGTTTACAAAATCATTCCTTAGAACATTTTGCAGCATTCCATAGAACACTTTCATCCATTCCATAGAACTTTTTTAACCATTCCATGGAATAGTGACAATGTGCTTTAGAACATTTTCATCTATAATGTGCGGAGCTGTTGAAGCATAGCAGTATAAAACCTTAGATTAGGGTTAGACCCATAAATCCGAAAATAATGTGGCTCTGAAGCATATTTATTATAGGCTATGGTGGCCTAAAGGGGAGTATTAAAGGCCGAACCCACGTAAGTTGACGTGATCGACCGGAACTTTAGTTTTCCCGTTTGGTGGGATTTGCCCATGTTTTGGGTGAAAATTAAACGATTACAGAGTTTCTTTATTGTTTAATACATCACGTTGTAGAGTAAGACCGCAAAACACCCGAATTGTACAGTATAAATTCTGCATGGCAAAATTGACGGCAAGTGTCTCGCCTGTACTCAGCAAATTGTTTACACTGAGTTTCGACTTCAATCCTAAACAGATTAAGCCTTATTGTAAACGCGTCTTTTTGCAGAGATCTTGAAAGCCAAAACTCTGATGATGCCGAGGAACAAATGGCTGCTGCCGTTCTTACATCCCTCTCTCTATCACCTGTTTTAAAGAATATTCAACTCGGACAAGGTAGTGTTGACTCTATGTGCATCTTCGCATGCGCAACCTCACGTTAGGGTATTTATATAATAATACAAGCATTATTTCGGCTTATTTTATTTAGTCCACGACTATACATCCTCCCTAACGGCAGATGTAGTTAAAAATAAATTAACCTGCTTTCCACCAGTTGTTGTAGATGTTTACTGAAAACAAGCCTGCTGCACGCATATATGTATGCAGTTAAATTAGCCATTAGTTAATCGCCGGCAATTTTGGGAACATATAAATACTATATACAAGAATATAATGATTATCTTTTGATCGTAAAAAAAATGGCAAGAAAGACACAGCACTCATTCTTAAAATATCTCGAATGCGGCACACGGCAATTTTGTAGTCATGCAATTTTAATATAGCAAGCTGCATATTTTTGTAGTGGCAATTAACCGTCCCTGTTTAGCCATATATAATGATAATACCATATTATCAAGAAATATTATTTAAGTTTTGGGTTATATAGTTGATTTTGAACAAGTTTTAAAACTGCGTGTTCATGTGAACTATGGAATTTATATTCATTGTCATGGGTCATGGACGCCTCGCATTTGCCGGCAATGCCAATAGTTTCTAATTTGGTACAGTACGCGCATATACATTCAATCAAAATTTTATACACTGTTTTTGAAACTATATATTGCGCAGTTGTTGCAAACATTACATAAAAGCAGGCATACATAACTGCATTGCTCAAAAGCCGATATATATTTTAGGGAATATATTGTCCACTTGCGCATACTGCAATACCGGCTTTCTTAATCTTACTTATTACATTCTACGATACGAACGTTAAAAGTTCTGATGCATGTTCTAATGGCTAATTTGAGACAAAAAGACTCCTTGCTAAAGTTTCGTCCATTTGCCTATATGTCCTTCATGGCTTGACAAATATAAGTAACAAAATAATGTCATATATAATGCATGATTTAGTTTTTTATTAAGAACGACATAATATAACCCATATCATGTGTAATCGGACAGAGACAAGCATTATAATATATCAAAGCCTAAGAATTCATGTCCTACTGCACGTCAGCATGTATAGAAAACGGCCAGCGAGTACGAATGGAATGCTGGGAAGTTTCACAAGGGGCTGTTTATGTGAGCCGGGTTTGGATTCGTCGCCATTATGCCTAATTATTTAATTAAGACTTACGTAAAACATAGAAGAGTAACTTTCAACTTGTCTGAAATTTATTCAAATCTCTTGTCAAGAAAGATTTGTCGGTTTGGACGGCCTCTGCTCTTAAAATATGCGCTGAAGTTTCAAAACCTTCTTGATAAGACCTGTCGGCAGTGTCGTAGTTTTTTTAGTGTCTCACTTGCCTGTCATAATTCTGTATAGAGAAAATGAGGAACCGGCGACATTTGAAGTCAATGCATGCATGCCATTTGGCTTTGTCGCAGAATAAAGAGCGAAGCAGAAAAGAATGCTTTTATATCAAAGACAAAGTTACCCAACAGGCTATATTATACGAAGTACATTTGTCTTCGATATAGATTCGGCTGTTAAGTGAGCAAGGAAAAATTCATGCTTTTATGCAGTAAAATCTGTTTGCTTTTCACTTATTTTACTAACAATACGGTAAATAAATGCACTAAAAGTAAAGATTTGCCTGGCGTTTTTTCAAGTCACATGCGTGAAAATAGCGACCTCAGTCTGGCAATTTCATGCATGATATTGAAGAACTGAACAAATATACGTTCAACCTGAACATCAAAAAATTAATATTTCAAGATATTGCATGGGGCTGGTTGTCCAGACTTCAGATCCTGGGTTAAAATTCAACCTGCTGTCTGCTGAGTGCTGGTTTGGTTTCATTTCAGCATGTACCGGCGTTTACTTCAAAACTCTGTTGACGCAGACAAGATTGCAGAGAGGTGTCTCCATGTTTATAAACAAGTTGTTAGGATTATTATAACTAGCTAACCGGCTTTCGAATTAATTCGAATAACCGGTGTGTAGCTGACACAATATGAAAATATATTACAAGATGTTCGACGGATATTTTACAAGATGTTCGAATGCCACTTGTCTGCAAGTTGTCATGCATGCATTGGCTTTCACTTCCAGACGAAGGCTTTTATATATACCTTCAATTTCTTGTTGTACTTTAATTTTCAAGCAGATTTTGCAGCAAACAACTAATATACAACCCAGTGTTCAATATATAGCCATGCATCTACCATTTTCCAAACAAAACCGGCCAGTATATACTGCATGGCCGCGTACTGATTGCAAGCCCTGTATGGCATTTTGCCACATTATAATTTGAATACTTTCCCCCTCATTCTTCCAAAACCAAAACGCAACTCTTACCAATCTGTTGCACTGCAGAGAAAGTTATTAGTTAAAATATAATGCAGTTTTCTGTATAATTATATACAGTACAGACAATACAGTATAATTTTCTGCTTGCGTGCTTTTCATCCTATAATATACTGTAGTTTATAAACTATAATTTGTCAATTAAAAAATTTCTTTCAACTTCGTATAAGATCTTTGTTGAGGTATATTTAATAAAATTAATTGCTATTTTATTCCAGCATATAATGTATGATTTGTTACTTGAAATTCCTTTCAACTTCCTAATATACAGCCAATACAAAAAGGTTGTCCTTTGCAGACCTTAAACTCTAAACCTTACGGACCGGTCATTATTTATGGTGGGGGGTGGCACCGAAGAGAAATGTTTTTCGTGGCAAAAATTTTGCTGACCCAACCATTAAAAAGTAAAAAAAAACCCCGATTATCCAATCTCAAATATCAATTAAAAAATTAATACCCACCCCTGGCCAAAAAATTTACAAAAGGTACCATTTAGTTGTCACATATGTCCTTTACCACTTCTGTGACATAAGTTTGATAACAGATTGTGAAATTTTCTGCAGTCTAAAGTTTCATGTTGTCTGCACATGTACTTTCTTTGGAGATCCCATCGGAAATTGATCAAGATAGTGACTCTGATTGATTCTCTGATTGAATTGTTCTCGTAAGGGACCGGTCATAAAGTATTTACTAGGGGGTGTGGAGGATATATATATATATATATTTTTTTTTTTGGGGGGGGGGGTACGAAAAAAACAACAGAACCTCTACGGGGGTCAAAATCTTAATACTATAGGTACGGAAAAAATTACATTTTATAATTATTGTTGAATATTGAATGTATTTGTACCCTGATTTAAGTCTGGAAAAATTGTTTTACTATAATTATTATTAAATCAACACAAAGTATATATGTTTCAGTCTGACTCAATGTCAGATGATAAGTAGGATTCAGTATCCATGGAACTTTTGGAGTACAAATCTGATACATCTGAATTGTCAATGACAATGCTAGCAAGCTAACACCATTAGAACCTGTTAATGTTTGAAGGGGGTGGGGGTATGCAAATTTTCACTTACATTGAAGGGGGGTTACGAAAATTTTTCCATAGGTTTTTGGGAGGGTATGGAAATATGTACTTGAAATTTCATTTATCCTCCACCCCCCTCTAGTAATTACTTTATGACCGGTCCCTAAGGAGATATTTACCATGTCTCTAAGACAGGGGCCCCATATATGATTTCTAAACTGATTAAATGATGCTCCCATTATGCTTTGCACGCTTAGAGTTTAAGGTTTAGAGTTTAATGTTTGTAAAGGACAATCTTTTTTGAATTAGCTGACATTGTTGAGGTATATTGATTAAATGAATTGGTATACCTTACAATTAGTGATATTGAAAGGTGGGACACTCGGATCGAAAGGTTATATTTGTAAATAATCGTGCAAATTAATGTGTCTAAAATCCCTCTACCCCGTTTCAATGAAGAGTTATCAACAAAACGTATAGAACACAAAACCACTTCAGATAAAATGTCAATTTTGGTCCTAACATTGAACGCGTTCCGCAAAGTTTGTTACTGATTAGCCTGCGAACAGGCTCTCTTTGAACTCTCTTTGTAGCAATGTAGCTCAGAGAGTAACTGTATTTTTCACTACTATATAGAAACATGAGATTTACTCCACTGGAATGGGATTATGATACCTACTTGTTTCATTCATTCTATACAAGCTTCTAAAGTTCTAATCGAGTTCTAATAACTAATTAATTTCTTGTTAAAGTCCTTCATGGCTTTAGAGTTTAGACCACCGGGAATGGTATTTTCAACTGGAATTTTGCTCCTGGAACTATTGGATTCGGCAAATCAGTGACTGGGTCGGGTGACGGACATACTAGCTTTTGAACCAGTGCACTTGTTATTGAAAACAATTGGCAAAAGTACAAATTTTGTTCGTCTGTATGGGTCAACAAAAAAATATGACAAAGTAATTTGAGCACTTGGATTTTAAAACTTGCCCAAGATTATAAGCGATTGGGGAAGTTTTTAATATTTGAAATTTCTGTCACTTTTTACGATTCACTGAGGCCCTGTTTACACTATACCAGATTCGCTCGTCACGACATCTTCTTTTGCCGTTAAGGAGCAATGGTTAGTAGCAAATGCTTATTAGTTTGACAGAATTGGCATGTTTATTTGGGTCTCTGAGATTAAAAATCTTCACAGCCTTTCGATACCGACAAAATTTGACCCACTCCGATAGCAATCCGATATAGTGTAAACGGGGCCTGAGAGAAATATATATTGCATTAAAGGCATGTGACATGCACATATCAAAATGTTCCTCACAGTCAACTGTAACGAATGTATAACATGCAACAGAAAATTCCCTATATATATGATTAACACACGTGCAATTGACAAATAAAACTTGCCATTTGAAAACTTGCTCATCTCTATATTGCAACCGGTTTAAACTTGTTCGTCCCCAACCAGTCAATATCGTACTTTCTGGCATGCAAACAAGCGTAAGTCGTCGCGGAAATATGCGCTGCAAGTATGTAAATAAAGATGACTTGATTAAAAAAAACAAGACTTGCCGCCTGATCACACGCTGACGCAATTCAGAGTGAGATCGAAAGATAACTTGCAGCCTTGGCTGTATGTGGTTGATATGCATCATCCATACACATCGAAGCTTGAAAACTGTATTTTTCGCTACAAATAGTTTAATATACACTGGCGTCTAACATTGAAAATCAAATCTCAGCCTGCCAGGTCATCAGGTCATGCAAGACTGCAGACATGCAACTGTCAACTATATGTTGACCCCTATATTACTCTATGATTTCCTCGCGTTTCCCCTTTGCTGTACGTTTACACATGCAGAAACAATTTATTCTGGGCATCTGAAAGTGGTATTAAATTCAGGCCTCCGAGACTATACTCTTAGCTAATGTTCGTTTTTTTCTGCGATACAGCGAATTTCATTGACATCATTAACGTTGTGCTGACAGCCTCGTATCTTGAACTATCTTCAAATTTCCTTTGAAAAATGCTTAGTGTGCATATGCTGATCGCAGTCCGCAATATACGAATCCAAAAACGCAGCAATATTAACATAAACTAGTTCAAGTAAACCATGGATTTTTTGGGCCAAGAATTAATATCATGCTTCTGTTCGGAAGATATCTGAATACTGAATTATTAAAAATTGTAACACTGCACCGTCCTCCAAGTAAATAAGCAAGCAAACGAGAATGAATGGGAGTTGATAAGAGTTGGCAGTCCCGAATTGTTATATATGGGGGACATTTCAAGCTCTAAATTAACAAAAGAAAAGTTTGATGAGTGTTCCAACTTAAATGGAATACATGATAGCGTTGGGAGCAAGGTCGCGTGACTGCACGCCAACTCTCATGATGGCCATGCACTATCATCCTCAGTTGATCCGGGCTTTTAATTAATAACAAACTTCGACAACATTTCGGACAAATATGTAGAATTCAATATGGTATTTGGTGGCTTAAATAAGATAAAAATTTTATTAACGTAGCCAAACATGTCTCTATAATAATACCATTGCATAATAAGTTATCTATTGGATCTCTGGCTATATAGTACGAAATCAAGAATACATTTCTTATATTCTTCTGAATTTGAGCGAAATGTAACAATTATAGCTGCAGCTTTTCATTTTGTCCCAAGTGTAATTTAATGAGTTATGTACATTGTATTTTTCACATTTCGTTTTACGCTTTTTTATTTCAAACAAATGTGTTTGTCTTGCATATAGACATGTCGCATCTATTAATATACCGCCTTTATGCTTGCCTCCTGACACATCTCGTGACTTCAAAGTAGGCGTGTTTGTTGATTCACGAAAAACAATATGTGATAATGTGATTAAACCGGTTTAAATAACAAGGAGTTTTCGTCGTCAACAAGAACAAATTAAAGATCGAGCGACAAAACTGACCACCCCAATAGACTTATTCGAGAAATGGTTGTCATTCTTTTTCCTCCCCAAATTAATTTCGACCAAGGTAATCACTGCCGCCTTATAGAGTACTTCAAGACTAACATTTTCAAAGAATATAAATATTTCCATGTATTGTGTTTGAGATATTAAATCTTAAAAATAAAGGGCTCAATACTTTATAGTAGAGCTAAATTTATTTAATTATTTATGAAATAAAGTACAAAACAAAATTTAACGGTTAATATATATATATATATATATATATATATATATATATATATATATATATATATATATATATATATATATATATATATATATATATATATATATATATATATATATATATAAAATATATATATTAAACTTATACACTTTGCCTTAAATAGAAGTCTCTGTTGAAGAATTGTTTATTAGCCTAGTAATGCATAAAATATAATAAAATTCAAAATTGTGGCGACTAGTTTTCAAATCGGTCAATGGGAAGATAATTTCTCCGACTCCAAGTCTAATAGCTATGTTCCAGATGGCTTATTAGTGGTTGATAGATCAATAGAAGATAAATAGACGAACATAGCCTACATCCCCTAAACAGACGCGTGGAAATCAAATCAATTTTATAATGAATGAAAAAAAAATACAGAACTATTTAACAGTTATTCTACGGAACTCGAGTCGAATATGAGCTGATAGCGATGAGGCGCGTAGCGCCGAATCAGCTATCGCTCATATTCGACAAGAGTGACTGGAATAACTGTTTTATTCTGATATACACAACGCCTGAATTCACAGACAGTTTGCTTTTCGGATATTTTCGATATTTTTCTATTTTGTTTATATCTTCGCTCTTTCCGGCGGCCGATTATTTATCTACGCGATTAGCCAATGACATACATGCCTACCAAATCAGTGAAATTTCGCTCGAAATACCTTTCAGCGTTTTGAAATTCATATACGACTACAATTTTTTCAGATGAAATATTCGAAGATGTCATGAATACCGAGTATGTCAGTGACGAAGCGATATCTCCTACAGCACTTTCAGATCAAGAAAACAACAGAAAATCTAAACTACGACGACGAAAGGTAAAATTCGCTTACTTTTGATAACATCGCACGAATTGGGACAATCCTGCCACACTCCAACAGAATTCTAATGTTTTGATATTGATTCGAAAAGTTATCGATTATTACAAAATAATTAAAACAACTAAATCAGGTGGTGCTATATCTCTCTTCTGTGCTACAGTGCGTCAACAGTAAGTGCGGCCACTTAGATGAACGCTAACCAATCAGATTGCAGAACAAGAATAGAAATCTAATCAAACTAAAGCTCGTCCAATCAAAAGAAAGCATGGAGTTCGCTTCAGGAAGCCAGTAACTGCAGTGTTTACTTTTCAAGTCTATTCTTATACCGTTTGACATTCGATTATTTGTTAAATTGTTTTTCGCCTAATGCTGATTGGCTAATGCGCCGTTTGTTGATTTTTGAGTCATCATCTACCTATACTATCCTGGCTCGTGATTGGTTGGTTGGTTATAACAATGAAAGACAGTAGCTAGAACTATAGAAATCGTCTTCCTAAAGAACGAGTCACAAACAATGATCGTTTTTGTTTCTGAAAGCCATGCAGTCATGCGCAAAACATGATCATTTTCGGTAAGTCTTAACCCCGGTTTTCTATTTTTGTTTTGCAATGTGATTGGTTAGTGTTCTCTAAGTGGCCCCACTTGCTGTAGACGCACTGTAAGTTAGTTTAACTAACTTGCGCAATTTTACAACGCGAGCCTTCTTGACAGTTTGTTCAAATTTGATATATGACAGGAATTTAGCCAGATCGAATTAGCAATTCGTGCATGCACTAGTCCAAAAGTGCTGCTCTATATTAAAGTCTGGAATAATTTTGAAATCAGAACTTTGTCTTCTACAAAAACATTCTTATATGGCATTCAAACGAACCAGGGGCGGATTTAGCCACATCTGCAAAGAGGGGTGCAAGTTTTCCATGGGGTGGTGTACGAGGGCAACCTTACTGCCCACTCTCCTCTGCAGTCTGCAGCGGTACTATCCCAACAATAATTACCATTATTTGAGATGGCCGAATCTGTATGTTCACCGTTCTGTTACATTTTACATCATCTTTTGTTTATAACGTTTATATCGGCTTTTAATCACGTATGCGTGACTAAAGACAGTTGCTGTGGCACAGTATAGCAAATTTGCTTGTTCAAGACATGGCTTTCAAGGGATAGGTTTCAAGTGGGACGAAAGTCCTGTCCCGTTCTCCTGTCACACAGTTATCTTCGTCAATGTAATTTTTTTTGTATGGTGACAAATTCAATAAATAAAATAAAATTGGTTGTATTACCAACCTCGACATGTTTACATATTTAACCATGGGCATGGCATTTAACTAAAGCATTCCGAGTATTTTCTCGTGAGCTCGTTTCAAGAAATCGATTTCATTGGGCAAACTGATTTGGCAAAGGAAACACGACAAATGGCAAAATTCGAACGGTACTCGTTTACAAAAACTGCAAACAGCTTTAATTCTAGTTCTGTCACTTTCATTTGATCTCATCTGTGAGTCGGCCTCAACGGCCTTTGATCTTGATATGCATTGCAAAGAAACGTACGTCACAGTTTGCATTTGGCGCATTTCTACTAGAGGATTAAATCACTTGAAAATGGACATACGTTGTTGCCATTACTCACATTAAAATACAAAACAAGTGAAACTCCAAAAATCGATAACATTTTTATTTATCTACGTTTCGACTATATTTCAGTCATCATCAGGATAAACTAGCTAGGTTACATATCAAAAGCGGTATTTATATGAAGAAATGTGATACAATAGTTAGGTTGATTATTAACGAATTAATGAAATATGATAAGTTCTTTAGAAGCTTTAAGTCCATGATTAAGTTCAGGTTTATATCTTTGAATAGCGAGGGATTCTTGATATAGTAAAAGGGACCAATGGTTAGATTTATCAATTATTTTAGTGTTGTTGAAAACATGTTCAGC